ATCCCGCCGCCAATGGCCAAGCTGAAGCATCCAACAAAATAATACTGAACATTCTGAAGAAGAAACTCGAAGAAGCTAAAGGGCTCTGGCCCGAATTACCACCAGAGGTACTCTGGGCGTACCGGACAACACCCAAATCCAGCACAGGAGAAACACCGTACTCACTGGTCTACGGAATCGATGCGATTATACCAGTCGAAATCGGAGAACCGAGCCTAAGATACTCACACATCAGCGGACCAGACAACGACATGGGTAGGCTTCAAGACCTTGACGAAGCCGAAGAACGAAGGGATATGGCCCACATAAGAATGACGGCTCAAAAGCATCAAGTCGAAAGGTATTACAACAAAAAGGCCAAAATACGACCACTCAAAGTAGGGGATTACGTCCTTAAAGCAAAAACTTTGGCGTCAAAAGACCCGAGCGAAGGGAAATTAGGCACCAATTGGAGTGGGCCATATAAAATTATAGCAGACGCAGGCAAAGGAGCATTCCGGTTGGAAACAATGGAAGGAAAAACACTCCAAAAGAACAGGAACGTCGCCCACCTGAAATACTTCCACTTTTGAAGGGCATCTCCCGAGTCGTACTCTTTTTCCCTTACCCGAGTTTTGTCCCAATTGGGTTTTCTCGGGGAGGTTTTTAACGAGGCGGCGAAGGAGACACCCAGGGGCGCATGGAAACAGGTTTATCATACCGGCCAGTCGACACGTCTCTCCAGTCCGGTATAATAAAGGGACTAGCCTAGTTGCCTTCTCCATTATGTAAGCGGCTACGGCCACCTTCTCCATTATGTAAGCGGCTACGGCCACCTTCTCCATTATGTAAGCGGCTACGGCCACCTTCTCCATTATGTAAGCGGCTACGGCCACCTTCCCCATTATGTAAGCGGCTACGGCCACCTTCTCTATTATGTAAGCGGCTACGGCCACCTTCTCCATTATGTAAGCGGCTACGGACACCTTCTCTATTATGCAAGCGGCCATGGCCGTCGCCAATAATTGTCGACCCCGTTCAACGACGACGGATAAACACTTCAACGACAGTTGAAGTTACATCCCTTTTGGCCAAAGTCCATCGCCAATAATTGTCGACCCCATTCGACGACGACGGATAAACACTTCAACGACAGTTGAAGTTACATCCCCTTGGGCCAAAGGCCATCGCCAATAATTGTCGACTCTGTTCGATGACGACGGATAAACACTTCAATGACAGTTGAAGTTACATCCCTTTGGGCCAAAGGCCATCGCCAATAATTGTCGACTCCGTTCGACAACGACGGATAAACACTTCAACGACAGTTGAAGTTACATCCCTTTGGGCCAAAGGCCATCGCCAATAATTGTCGACCCCGCTCAACGACGACGGACAAACGTTTCAACGACGGTTGAAGTTACATTTTTTTAGCCAAAGGCCATCGCCAATAAATTGTCGACACCACTCGACGACGACGGGTAAACACTTCAACGACAATTGAAGTTACACCCTATGGGCCAAAGGCCATTACTAAGGATCGTCGATCTTATCCGACAGTGACAAATAGTGTATAAGCAAAAGAACAATACGAAAGGATAAGCAACACAAGTGTAACTCTTTTACTATAACAAAAATTATATACACTTAGTCCCACGAAGGACTCCCATTACATTCCAAAAAAAAAAGAGAAGAAGAAAAAACGCAAAAATCTATACAAGTCCTAAGGGGCCTCGCCAGGTTTGTCCTCGCCATCCGCTCGCCCCCTTTCTTGGTACTCACGGTAATCCTCATTAAACCACGAGCCGGACTCAAGCCGATTGACGTCCTCAGAAGTATAACCTTCTCGGTCGGGAGAGTCGGAGCTGTACCCACAGGCCGCACGGGCGGCACGAGCCTCACGCAAATGCTCTTGGACCTCCTCCGCAGAGGCACGTTCTACAGCAAGAAGTCTTTTATACACGTCCAACTTAGCTTCTGCGTATATCCACATCTCGTGTGCGTCTCGGGCCTCATTCCCGAACCGTGGCAAGGCAGCACGCTTGAGGACATCAATCTCAGCCGCCTTAGTTGCAAGCTCGGCTGTCAAAGCCGCCACCCTACCATGGAGGTTAGTTACCTCCGCCGCCACTCCGCGGCTAAGCTCCAACTCTTCCTCCCTCAGCCTGAGGAGCGATTCCAGCTCACTATTGCGAGCCACCGCCCTCATCAACTCTTCATCTGCTTTTTCCAGCTCCGCCGCCCTGCGGTTTAATTGAGCCTCCCTCTGTTCGAGGCCCTCCCAAAAAATCTGGAATTGCGGATCCTGCTGAAAAAGGTCCGCCGCCGCTTGGTGTTTGGAGCGACACCGTTTATATTTCTTGACCATCTTATCAAAAACGGTCGCTTTCTTTTTCTCGCGGCGCCGTCTCTCTACCTCCAGAACCAGGGTCTAAAAAGAAAAAGGTAGAAGAGTGCATGTACATACACATGAGTTAGTACTTATACAGAATCAACTACATAACATGCGGAAGAACGGAGAGGTTACCTGCAATGCCATACTCGCAACCCTCTGAGATAGCTCCGCGTCGCTGACAGCACTCAGTATCTTACGCTCAGGGGTCGCACAAAGTAGGGCCATCTCTAATGCGGCCCGCTCGCTGTGCTGCAGCAAGTTGTAAGCCTCTGGAATCACAATACGACGGCCAGATCCGTCTGCCATCATCTCCACCTGCGCAGGGCCCTCCGCCATCTCACCCGTGTTCCCATTGGTGACCTCAGCAGCTGTCCCCCCAGATTCACCACCAACAAGGGGCGATGAAATGCCCTCAGAAACGTGAGTCGTGCTGGTACCAACATCAGCACGTATCTGGGTGGTCGGCCTCCCAGAACGGATGGCGTCGGCCATAAGGACGGGCCTAGTTGGCTGGCGAGGCACGATCCTCTCTTCGTCTCCCGTCACCACCGCCTTGCCCGTCATGAGCCTCCTTCTTTTCCTATCCTCGGGCTCCTCTCCCTCAGAAGGCTCGTCCGCGGGGTGCGGAGACGACGTCGATGGCCTCTCCTCACTTGCGGCCATTTCCGCAGGCGCTGCCTCTTGCAAAGAGGCTACAGTCACCCCTTCCCTAACAGATGCGTAAAGTATTTCCTGCGCAGCTGGACCGGCATCTGGTTGGGAGGAGGTGGGTGCTGTCGCCCTCCTCTTTGGAGCACTTCGACCTGTCAACAACAGTGATTTAACCGATGAGGCTTACGAAAACGATTGACTAAAGTTGAGAAAAATACCTGAAGGGCTCGCAGGGCCGTAACGTTCAATGAACTCCGCCCACTTACGGGTCCCCTCCGCTAAAGGCAACAGATCGGATACCCACTGCCTTATATCGGTTATGAACCGAGGAGTGTGAGCTATCGCTGCAAAGTCACAGAAAAATTATATGGGTGGTATAATCGGAAACGCTAAAGTCCAAAATAATAAGCAATTTAACAGGAACGAATACTTACGTCTCGAATTCCACCTTTCAGGGAATCCGACGGGATTGGACACCAGGTGTTCCGTTCTAATGAAGAAATATCTGCGCCAATAGCCTCGGTTGGGCCGGTCGTCGGTTTCCACGATCAGCCCTTTTGAACCACGATTTTTTAAGTGCAGCATGGTGCCCCTCAGGTAGCTGGCGCCAAATAGCTGCAAAAGGTGGTGAACGGAGACTTCCAACCCCGCTAACTCCGCGTACGTAGACACTACCCTACACGCCTTTAGGGTATACAGAGTAGGTTGTGTAGGACATATATTATAGAAACAACACAGTTATTCCGCCAAGGGAAGAAAGGGGAGCCCATAACCGATCAGAAAGGGGTATTCGTAGAATGTACAATACCCCGGCCTATGGGTATTCGCGTAGTCCTCCCCCGCCAGAACCATTTCTACATGAGCGGGTATACCATATGAAGTACGAAGGAGGTCCAAATCGGCTTGTTTTAATTCAGACTTTTCCCAAGGCTGTTCGAGAGAATCTCTTTGAAAATCCCTCCTAGCAAGGAGTTGCTTTGGGAGTACATTATCTACGGTGATAGGGGTGAGATCCTTCCCCTTCTCCCCTTTATTACCGCCGGATGGAGGCGGTGCGTCGGTTGATTTATTACTACAATCTCCTAAAGTGTTACCACGTTTGGATTTCGTCATGATTTTCGAGTAAGAAACGGTGTATTACACGACCACGAATGTATTTTCACAGAAGCTGTGGGTTCTTATAAAGAGGAAGCACTTTCTTGAAATAGTCAGAAAACCTTTCACGAATGATCTAAAGTTATGTTGAAATTGAACCCATTCCCTATTTATAGGGTTGGGTAGCGTTGAAATCGAAGAGGCAAAACCCTAACAGGCGCGGGAAACCAAGCATCAGAACACCTTTTGTATTTCCTCGGGAACACGCGTAATGATGACGCCTGCACACGGTGACGTCATTTCAGAAAAGGGTTTACGCGCCAATACACCAACGAATTCAAATGGTCGCCCCCTTTACGTCGTCATCTCCGAACATGGTCAAAATTTTCCCAGCATGCGGTTCGAGTATCCGTCCATCGGCGACGCACGTCTCTACGTCACCAACGAACGGAGGGACTAACTGTATAGGGTCAAATTCTGCCCCTTGCTGTGACCACGACCCTGGGCTAAACAGTGGTCGTAGTGAGGGTACGCCCCCAGAATGTCGGAGCGAAAGCGCGTTAACAAGTCTCGTCGTCCCCTCGAGGACGCACGGCCTATTTTTATATTATTTTATTATCTCGAGGAGATCCTCCTGTTATATAAAGGAGGATCCCAATGTTGTAAAGGAGAGATTCTTTTCTAATACAGGCTCTCTCTCTACCTCCCTCTCAATCTCTCTCTCTACATTTTTACTCTCTGGAACACTCAGTATATCAAAAAGCAATAAAGGATATTATGCACATTTTCTAGGTCTCATTATATTCGATTACGATATACGTTTGATCTATTTTTAATGGTATTTGCTTGCTAAGTATTCACTAACTTTCGAGTCAAACAAGTAGCTCCAACCTTAAACACCACAGGATCCCAAGCCAAACTCAACCCCAATTGGCTCAAGTACAAGAGCATAGCCATAGGCTGGCGATGAAATCCACCGTCAGCCCAAACAAGCCAAGCAGAAAGGCCCATCAGAAAAGCAGAACCCAAACAAGCTAAGTGCAAAGCCCACAAACGTGGGATCCAAAAGGGTTTCTCCATTAAAAATAGTTAAATAAATACTACTAGTAGTTAATGTCAGAGTTGAATTTATAAATTAATAAGCTGTTATTATTTAAACTGAAATGTTGATATTGATGATAAAAGAAGTTTGTGTATAGCAAGATGAACGTTAGCAGCATAAGGAAAAGAGGACAGATGAGTGGAAAGAAGCAGTACACGTGGTGAGAAGTCAGTGCCAACAGTGATTGCTGCAGTTATCGTCTTTCTGTCAAAACAATTGAACTTCTGGTCAAAGGAACAACACAATGGCGTACCTATCATTAGTCTCGCTATGGTGCCGACTCCGATCCAGATGTTGCACGCTGCTTGGGACCAGTGGCCACTAACACGCATGCATGTAGGCCATGATTTAATTTTTTGTTTTCTTACAATTTATACAATTTATACTAATTATATATTATTAATTATAATTATATTTAGCATATAACACATAATTTTTCTGCTACTATTTCTAGAACGGCCAAAAAATAGAATTATTCCTCTATCTTTATGGACTTACTAAAACGTAATTAGTTTGGCCAAATATTTTAAAAATATTTTAGAAGTATAACAACACAACAATAAAAAATCAATGAAATTTTACAAGTGGGGTCTGGAAAGAGTAGTGTGTACGCAAACATTACTCATACCTTATGAAGGTAGAGAGGATATCTCTGAAAGACCCTCGGCTCACGAACAATAATAATAAAGCTATAGAAAAACAATAACAACAAGAAGGAAATAAGATAATGAAGCAAGTAATACAATGAGTAACAACATAGATCCAAGGATACGAAACTACGACGGTAGTGCAGATTCTACTGATAATAATGCCACACAGTATAAAAATAAGGGATTAGGAATAGGAAGATATACGATTAGTACTACTACTACCGGTAAGACAAGGCGAAAGTCTAGACTGTTTACCTACCCATCAGCCTAATTTCGACCTCCACACCTTTCTATCAAGAGCCATGTCCTCGGTAAGTTGGAGCAGAGTCATGTCCTGCCTAATCACCTCACCCCAGTTCTTCTTAGGCCTCCCTCTACCCTTCCCCTGACTCGCCATGGGAAACTTCTCGCACCTTGGTGACGTATAAATCTACCACTAAAAAGTAAATGGACACGGTCGCATATAATATAATTGTACCCAACTATGAGTCGAAGTCAAATTTTACAGAACAATATGAAGGCAATAAGGCGTGTAAGAGAATTATCACTTATTATGCTAAGCCAAGCACTTAGAAACGTATTGAGAAAATATTTATAACTAATTACGAAAATGTAAACTAATCTAGAAAGTAAGTAAAATTATCAACGGCTACAAGTATGGATACACGGAGAATTACTCTCAAGTAACGATCCACTCTATTTCACAATATTACAAATATGCGAGTTTATGTTAATTAGCCTCGGGTAATAATTCTATATTAGCTTCTTCCAAAGACTAACAAGACTTCCTAATTGAATTATCCCTAAAATAATTAAGAGATTAAGTACACCCGATTATGACTACAAGTAGTTCAATCCTATCCCTAGGTAGAATCTATAAAGTGAGGGTTAAAGCCTCAAGTTCTTGTTAATTAATCTTTCCCAACCCCAAATTATCTTTCCCAAAATTAATTCGAAGTAAATGGGAGATTCCTAGGGTTAGCTAATCCCTTTGAAAACATTAAAGAACAAGAATAACTAACGAAACAATAACTCACTTCATAATAAATAAAAATATTTCAATACATAAGCACAACAAGTTATTTAATCCACACTTTAAATATGAATATTCCTATAATTCAAGTGTTGGAAAAAATACTACACACATAGATATACAATATAAAGCAAGGAAATAAAGAAATGAACATAAATGGGTAAGAAATTCTCAATCAAAAGTTTCTAATCTTCAAGACCCAAGTGTATGTGAGAGAACCCTAGCTCCCAAACTTGTCTTCTCTAATCCAAAGACTGAAAAATAAGCCAAAGATGTTTTACAAATGAGCTAGGTCGTGTATTAAATGGTTTGGGGTCAAAGACGTGAAATTCCAGAACTGCCCAGTTTTTCAGCCAATTTTTTCTTAGCGTTCGCGATTATACCTTCACGTTCGCGAAGGTTATTTTTCTGCAGCTTCGCGTTCGCGAAGGGTGGCTTCATGTTGATTTGATTTCACGGTCTCTCCTTCGCATTCGCGAAGGGTTGACTTCCTGCTGGCTCGCGTTCGCGAAGGGTAATTCACTGGACATACTTCCATTGTCCATTTTAGCTCCTTTTTGACTCGTTTTCAATTGGTTTCTTCATCATCATTTCTAAATCACATACAACATGTAAAATAGAAGTAAATGGCATTAAACACACAATTGTATCACCAAACACAACAAAAATCTAAGTTTAAAGGCGAGATAAGTTGGTAAAATACCCACTTATCACACCTCCTAATCGGGGCATCAGAGTCTCACCTCTTCACATGTCCGAACCATCTCAGCCTCGATTCTCGTAGCTTATCTTCCACATGGGCCACATCCATCTTGTTCCTAATATATTCACTCATAATCTTGTCTTTTCTGGTATGCCCACATATCCATCTCAACATCCTCATTTCTGCTACTTTCTTCTTCTAGGCTTGAGATTTCTTGACTGGCCAACACTCAACTCTATATAACATGGTTGGTCTTACTACCGCTTTGTAGAACTTTCCTTTAAGTCTAGGTGGCACATTCCCATCACACAAAACACCAGAAACGAGCCGCCATTTCAACCACCTCATTCATATACAATGTGCAACATCCTGGTCAATTTTCCCGTTATTCTGTATTATAGACCCAAGATATTTGAAACTAGCTCTCTTGGGGATGACTTGTGTATCAAGCTTCACGTCCACTTCTGCTACATGCATACCAACACTGAACTTACACTCCAAGTATTTTGTTTTTGCCCTGCTCAATTTGAAACCTTTAGACTCCAGAATCTGACGCCACACCTCTAGCCTAGCATTATCCCCACAGTGTGTCTCGTCAATCAACACAATATATCTACAAATAACATACACCATGGCACCTCCCCTTGGATGAGTCGCGTCAGCATATCCATCGCCAGGGTAAAAAAATGGGCTAAGAGCTGATCCCTGATGCAACCCTATCACCACTGGAAAATAATTCGGGTTTCTTCCCACAGTCCTTACCCGAGTCTTAGCACCATCGTACATGTCCTTAATCACCCTAATATATGCTACCGGGAGCCGCTAACCTCCAAACATCTCCATAGAACCTCCCTAGGAACTTTGTCTTAGGCTTTTTCCAGGTCAATGAACATCATATGCAAGTCCTTCTTCCTCTCCCTATACTGCTCCATCAACCTCCTCACAAGATGGATGGCTTCAATAGTCGACCACCCCGGCATAAATCCGAACTAATTCTCTGAAATAGACACACCCCTTTTCACCCTCCTATGTACTACCATTTCATAGTGTGACTCAGCAGCTTGATACCCTTATAGTTGACCTAATATACTATTATTTGAGATAAAATAAGAACTTGTAAAGAACTAGTCTAAACCAATCGGCATAGAGAGAAGATGATGCAGTGTACAAAAGCTACGAAAAGAGTGATTCACTTACCAGGTTAATTACTAATTAAGTACAATTTATAAAGACATGAAAGCAAAAATTTGAAGCTTTTTATTTTCATTTTGTATGTCCCATAATTTAGTAGATTTGATCATTGCAGCTTTAACGACGAGTGGCTCTATGGTGGACATGAGTACGAGTGAGGAAATGCTCTCTACAACACCACCACTGACCCCCTCCTCTATTCCCCCAAAACCACCGAATTTAGTACCTCTCACCACTACAGATGAATCTATTCCGTTCTCAAACATCACTCCTAATGATTCAAATCCTTCCTTCAAAAAGATCCTCCTCTCAAACTCCCTTGAGCAACCTATCTCCATCCATATCCCAACAGTCCCCAGTGCAATGGAGATGGAAAACAGCTCTAAAGCCATGGAACAAGACCAGCAAAATAAGGATGAGGAATTGCAAATAAACCTCTCTTCAGGTGAAGTGCAACGTATCTATCATCCATGGAGGCATTCCCTAATTGTAAAACTACTTGGTAAAAGAGTCCAGCACCTCTATCTTAAAAAAAATTGCAGGATATGTGGAAATCCACAAAATCTTTTCCTCTAATCGATTTAGGTGCGGATTACTATATAGCCAAATTCAACCTTGAAGAAAATATGTTAAGAGCCCTTCAGGAGGGGGGGGGGGGACCATGGTTCGTTAATGTCTACTATTTATCCATACAGAGATGGTCCCCAAATTTTGTTGCCACCGAAGCAAAACCTCACATCATAGCAGTTTGGATCCGCCTTCCTAACTTACCCACAGAATTTTATGATGGGCTTATCCTCCAGAAGATTGGAAACAAAATTGGGAAGCTGGTGAAGATCGATGCTTGTACATTTGCAACCATTAGAGGCAGATACGCCAGACTCTGCCTGGAAATTCCTATGGACTCCCCGGTTAGGTCCTATATCTATATTGGTAAACATAGACAGTTAATACAATATGAAGGGGAACACTTTCTATGTAAGAATTGCGGCAGAGTTGGCCATACCAAATCCAATTGTCCATATGCAAAGATCGATACTAAAACCGCAATATCAGTGAAGCACTCAACCATGCAAGCAAACTTATCTGCACCAGTGACTAACACAATCGAAGAGGAATGGCATACATTCTCCTTTTCAAGAAGGAAACCCTCACCCCCACGGCCTCTAGCTCTTCCTGCTCTTGAAGAAAAAGGTATTAAAGTTAGGATTTTTGATGCAAATACAGGTAAGTTCTTAAATACTCTAGTTCTTAAATACGTTAATAAAGATGTCTCCGGGAAAATTGGCTCCAACGAGAATCGTTTACACTCCCACAAGCCTGACCCAAACCCCAACATCGTTGAAAATACTAACCAATTTGCAGACCTGCAAATTCAGCCCACTGATAATGCCAAAACCA